CCCCGAAAAAAAAACCCTCCAACAACAAACAAACTGGAAAAACCAACTGGTGGACACCGGGGCATGTATTATAACTAAGTAATTATGATATCAACAGTTTCTGTAGCATAAGCCTGGGGGAAGGTGAACTTAAGTGCAAGTAACACTGCATGTGCACCACAGGGAACAGCACAATGACCACAATGAACTCCCTAAGTGCTGCTACTCAGTCACTTACTGCTACTTACCCATATTTTCAAGGAAAGATCTTTTTTCTTCATTCTGCCTTTCAAAATGAAGGTATGTATCTTATTTAAGGGAGTGTTGTATGAGAGAAAGTACAGTAAGTTAAGCTCATTTGAATCCGTTGAAGAAGCACTGAGTGTGCATTTCTCACATACAGAGTTGTAGTTTCCCATAGCCTGTTACTTCATTATCCAAACTTTCCAAAGCGCAGGAAGAGCAAAGGGACAGAAGTGGCAAAGAAGTATGCACTTGCTTATGATGCTTTATCCATAAACTCCATCATATTCAGCATGTAGTCAGAAGCTCCTGTAGGATATGTACTGCTTCAGTATCTAGCCATTCACAAGACACTGAACATGAACCAGAACTCACTATGAACTGCTCTGTCTCATAAACAAGTCTTAATGTAGTTTCCCCCCTACCCTCGACATGTGAGATGTCATTTGACAAAGCTGGTTATCCTACCTGGAACTCTAGCAGGAAAGGAATCTGGAGACCCTGCTCCAGCCCCACCTTCATCATCATCTTCCTCAAATTCCAAGTTCTCTTCTTCTCCAGGTGCCAAGATCTTCCTGTGAGAAAGAAAGAAAACTTGGGCATTTGCTTTAAAAATAAAGGTTACAATTCAAAAGAACCCATAGCCCAGTATAGCTCAACACCACTGCACTGTAACACAACATACAACCAAGTGCCATGCCTACTAACTAATTAACCCTGGCAAGCTAACATGCAAGCAACAGGAGGCTAGACACATTAAGGGCCAAATTTCCGAAGTGGCATTTAATTTTGAATACCAAGCCCACTTTTTTTCCACTAGGCTCAGAAGAACTCTTATGACTTCAGCACATGTGAAGGGCAAGGGAGAAAACAGATGAAGAGTTCCAGGTTAGCTACTAGACAAGACTACCTTTCATAGCAATTTGGTTGTACAGGAGGCCCTCACCATCCAAGGGGGATACGTTCTAGAGATCCCTGCAAATGGGGAAATCCGTGAATATGTTCATAAACATCTGCATTCTGCATCTATGTTCATGAACAGCGCACGCTGGTGGCGGCGGGAGTGCAGAGGCAGCAAGTGTAGAGCTCCCACAGATGACAATGCTGCTGTAACACTATACACTATGGAAAGCGCATGCGCGGAAAGAGCGCATGTGCTCCAATATTCACACCACGAATATTCAGAACCACAAACTGCGAATAGCACGGGTTTCCTGTACATGTACAAATCCACAAATTCTTCTTTCCTTACCTGAGTGGGACAGGCTGAACATCAAAAGGGAATTCTTTATTATAGGTGAGAATATTCTTTAAGACTGTAAAAGGGGAAAAAAGAAAAAGTTGCTCTAAGAATAAGAAAAGATCAAAGACACACCCACCAGATGTCTATTCTTGGAGTTTCTGCAACAGATATATGAGGGTGCACCAAAAAGTGATAGCACAACTAAGTTTATAACATCACCTCAACATAAATCATTCCCTTATAGTGTACTTCAACCTGAAAAGCAAGTTTTTACCCATATTGCACTGTTAACAGCATAATATACATAAAGTATTCTGAAGAGAAATGAGGGGCTTTCTGCAATCCAAGGGTAGAAATGTTGGAACAAACAATGGTTGGCAGGAGTTCAAGAGGAATGCTGGGTTACCAACACCCACTTGAATGAAAATCCTCCAGAATTAACATTCTTTAATGCATGCGAAGGCTGCCCTCCTAGTGAACACCCAGCCAAGACAGGTAGGTGGAAGACTGACTTTGCTGCTGTTAGTAAAGTGCAAGTTGCCTGACTCATGCTGGTCTACTTAAGCCTAGAAGGAAGACAAATAGGTTTAAGAACCAGAAAACTCTGCTTCCACTCAGAATTAAACAGCAGAACCTGAGGGGCCTAGTGGATACTGAAGGCTGTTGCAGACACTTTCCTGAAAGAAGCCGTTCTATAGTCATGAGATTAGCACAGGAAACTTGCTATAGTATGAAATTATCAGGCTGTTAGCCTCTCTCTTGTCCACTATTTAAAGCAGATTCAAAGTACTGAAGACCTGATATTTCAAAAGCACTCAAAGGAACTGGGCACCCAGTTCTCCCCCTCTGCCCCCCCAAGCCATCTTACCTTTCAACCACATTCCTACCCCCTTGTCCTTCCTTCCTCTGCTTCAATCCCTAACTTTCTCAATCTTAAGTATTTAAGTCAGGCTGGTAGGAAGCTTCTTTCTTCTCCCAGTTGCCTGAACCTAGCAGGAAAATCTCTACCAGCATAGAAGGCAGTCTCCTGCCCTCAGATCCTGTGTCTGAGGCCACAGCAACCAGACTACCTGCGGGGTGTGCAACTGTGGGACAAGCCTAACTCAAGATGTACAAAGATCTAACAGTTATATTGAAACAGTTTATACTGGCATAATTGTTATATCAGTCTACCCCTACAGTTGCATAAGTAAGCCATTGCAACTTTAAGCCAGTTTCATTTAGGCTTAAAGTTAAGAAAGGTTTAGCACCACATAAAATAGTATAGGAGCATAATTAATTAAAACAGCTAAGGCATGTTCCTGAACAATCTCCCCTCTTTTAAAACTGCTTACACAATGCCTACCCACAGCCTCGATCACTCAGTCAGGAGTAAACAAGTGCAACCTGACTGCTGGTTTTACAAGAAGATGGAGAATGACCAGTGTAGACAAACTTCAAGAATTTAGTTGCCAAGCTCCCCTAAGCCTCTGAGCACATGCAAATTGCTTCTATTTTTTCCCTTCAGAGATAATGGCCTTGTACAGATATTTAGTTTCTCCTGGAAGAGTTGCTGCTTAGGAGCAACTAAGGTTAAGTAACTCCCAGGAGTTTTTCCTGGGAGACTGAAAGTCTGTACATGCCGCAGCTTCTCTCGGAAGAGACGTGTGCGACTCACTGGACTTTGCTGCTCCAGCAGGGAGCCAAACATGCCCTCTTCACAATCCCCAAACTGTGCTGCAGGGGAACACAGGCTGACTATGGGTAGTAGTCTGGACCAGGCAATCAGGGCTGCCCTATGCACTGCTGTCATCTGTCACCAAGTAGACTAAGGGAGCCGGCAGAGCACACAGTGATGTGTGCACAAGGGCCCCCCTCCAGCTGCACATGTTAGCACTACAAGCTCTCCACTCTTCAGGGCCTCACCATTCAAATGTTTGTAAGTGCAGCTCTGGGTAAGTTTCTCCATCAGGAGAACAAACCTGGGAGAGTTTTCCTAGATTATTTGAATATGTACACACAGCCAGTATAAAGCTTGCCACAAGTTTTCCATGGGAACAGCAAAAGGCCTACAATCAGGATGATCCTCTCTTGCTTCAAAACATGGAGGTATGAGAACTTAAATTTTAAAATAGCAATTCACCCAAATAACCTGGTCTGCAAAATACTAATAAGAATGTTAACACTACTAACCTAGCATTTCTGCTACACTGCTCTGTACAGGTTTTGATAATGTCCTTGTTACCAAAGCCTGAGCTCCTTCCAGTAGCATATTAAGCAACATGTCACATAGTTTGTTCTTTCTCATCCTCCCACAGGGAGTGCCACTGTTACAGCAAAGCATTTGATTTGGAGATTTTTTTTTCCTTCTACCACCCCTGCCCTGCCCTGCCCTGCCCAATGTTCATACTGCTGAAAGAAAGCCCAACTACATGCACAGAAGGTCGAAGAAATGGGCACTGTACTAGGTGCTGAAGGGGCAAAAGTCTGGGATGGCCGTTGGTTCCTGGGGGAGCTCATTCTAGTCTGGAATTGCTCCCCCACTCCTACATGGACAAGCTTTACTCTTACAGTATGGAGGTTCCCTTTGTGCCAGAGAAGCAAAGTTATCAACAGCTCACCTCATACCACAGCTCTAAGATGGTATACTTGGAGTTCTAAGCTCAGGCCATGAAGTACCCTTGAAGTCAAGGTAAGGGTTTGAACTTGATTCATCAAGTTATTGGAATCACTGTCACTTCAGTAGAGTCTGAATTCTTAGAGAAATTGACTTTTGGATGCAGAGCAGATGGTGCAGCTTGAATACAGGTACAACTGAAGTGATGCTGGTCAAAGTCTTTCCCTTAAGTCATTGTCTCCGCTGCCCATTAAAGGCACACAGCCTCCCCCTCATTTGTCAAACGGGTACAAAGCCTTTTTGCTTCTCACTAAGCTTGATGGACTGTGCAACATCAGTTTAAAAAATTACTTACTCCACCTTCAGCTAACTAAAAGATCATCTCTTCCCCCTCAGACAAAGACTGGGCAACAGTAATCCATGCATGTATCATTTCCAAAATGGGCTACTACAAATCACTGCATACGAGGATGACATACAGGCAGCAGCTGGCACAGACTGCAGCTCTCTGCTTGCTCTATGACTCAGGCTCCCACAAACACATGAATCCTGTCCTCAAGTGACTCCCAGTCAGCTCCACATACCAACTTCAGGTTTTGGTCTTAACAGATCAAGCTCCCACTACAACAACTGAATATTGATTTAAGAAAAACATGGTCCTCTCATACAGTGTGCATCACTAATACTAGGATGAAGCATGTAAGGCCTGAAGATAGAGCATTGAGTCTTATGGAACAGACTCCCAAGTGTCAGGTTAATCCAGAATCTGATCAGGAAACTTTACAAAACCTCACTCTTTGAGAAAATCTTTCCATATAAATATAAATAAAAATCATAACTATCTGGTATGTACATATCTGCACTGGCAATGCATCAGTCTCCAACATATACCTACTAGCAGTATATTTAAGTTTATAGGGAGACAAAAAATAATCTTGTGTTGTATAAAGATGGTCTAAGATCAAATGTCAATGTTTGAATATTGTGATTTGCTGATTTCCAGTCTGTAACAGGTCTGTTACGTGACACTATAGTGTAATGGCAAGGGATAGGGAAGAGAAACAGATTTTAGGGCACACTTGGTACAACCACACATGTTGCCATTCAATTCACTGTGATGCATCTTTTAGTCATTAAGTATCACTAACCTCAAAAGCATCTCAAGATACATGCCCTTAAATATATGCTGGTCACAAACTACAGTGAAAAAACTGCACATGGATTTTTATAAACAGAAAAACCTCACTTAATCTACATGACTTCAGTTACAAAACCCAGGCATTCCTTCTCTTCTCAATCTAGATGTAAATAGAATAGGATTGTATCAAGGGCTTGTATTACAAGAAGTCCATTATTTCCCCCAATTAGCTTATAGAAAATCTACTAGTGTGTTACCAAGTATCAAATTAAAATAGAACTAAGAAGTCAAAATAAGCAAACATTTGAGCCTTCTATGAGCCTTTAGCCGTTTTTGGTGTTTGCTCACTTGTTTACCAGTTCAAAAATACAATCAGCATTTACAACCAGTTTCCTAGTAACAAACCATAACATACCCAGAATTCATCTTAAAAAGGGTAGTAGTCTAGGATCTTCAGGGAGTTGCCCAACTGAGAAACTAGGGCTATACAGAAATACCCTGGCTAATGAAGTAGATGTGTTCCATGACATCATTTTGTTATCAGAAACTTCATTACCAGAGGTAGAAATAACAGAGGAGGAATAGGGATGTGTTCCAGGACTTCAGAGAAAGGGGTGGGCTACAGTAAGAAAATATCATTAAATACTCAATTAAAGGTCTCCCACAGCCCCCTTGGCCCTGCTTGTGCCTCTCACTCCCTTCCAGAGCCCCCACAACCTTGCTGGTGCTCCTTGCCCCCCACCCACAGCCCCTGCTCCCCTAGC